GCTCCAAAATAGACACTGTCCCAGGGAACCAGAGCCTGCCTGTCACCACTAGAGCTCTGATCCAACAATGCACAGACCTAAAAATAGTTCTCCTAGTTGTTGGTCTGGATATTGCCACTGCTGCAGGGACAGGGATAGCAGGTCTAGCTACCTCCCTGACCTACTACTGTACCCTTTCCAATGATCTGTCTGACAGCCTCAAGGAAATAGCTAACTCCATTCTTACCTTACAGAACCAGCTAGTCTCCCTTGTAGCATTAGCCCTCCAAAATTGTATGGGCCTCGATCTTCTCACACCTATGAAAGGTGGCCTATGCATCTTCCTAGAAGAATGTTGCTTTTATACCAACAAGTCAGGCATAGTACAAGATGCAGCAAAAAAGCTAAATGACAAGGCTGCAGAAATTGGACAATGAGTTACTCTTGGAACTGGAGCAGTATCTGGAACTGAGCCCCGTGGTTCCTTCCATTAGCTGGGCCTTTTTTTTTTTTCTGGTACTGAGGATTGAACTCAGGACCTTGTGCTTGCAAGGCAGGCATGGCACCACTGAGCTAAATCCCCAGCCTGGCTTTTTTGTTTGTTTTGTTTTGTTTTCTGGCACCAGGGATCGAACTCAGGACCTTGAACTTGCCAGGCAGGCATGGCACCACTGAGCTACATCCCCAGCTGGGCTTATTATCTGTATTCTCCTCCTCCTTTTCTTGAGGTTCTCTCAGAATTCCTATAAAATCAAGTTCAGGCTATCACCAATCAGTCAATGCAACAAATGCTTACTCTGACCCCTACTTCATACCTTCCCATTTCCCAAGAACTCTCTTCCAATTAAGGTGTTCACACCACCCACTTATCCTGCATGAAGCAACCATGAGAAACAGTGCCCACCTCCAGGTCTCTCTCGTGCTCTCTCTCTCTCTCTCTCTCTCTCTCTCTCTCTCCCTCTCCCTCTCTCTCATAACAACAAAGAGACAGGAATGTCACATGTCACACCTGGCGGGAAAGGCCATTGCAGAGCACCATGCCCCAGCCCTCATTTCCAGGAAGTCTGAGTATAGCTACATTGCCCTTGGTTCCAGGAAACATCTGCACCATTGTCTATTCAGAGAAGCATGGCTACACTATCTCTGTCCCCAGATTCCATAAGACAGCAACTCCTCAGACCAATGCCTGGCAACCACCTCCAATACCTGCCAACCACCTCCCTCTTAACCTCCCCCTTAAAAAATCTTTGCTCTTCCTCATCCTCTCTCAGCTGACTCTATTCTCGGACTCAGCCTGCTTGCACTTGAATGAATAAATAGCCTTGTTGCCCACACAAAGCCTTCCTGGGTGGTTTCTCTTCCTCTGTGCCTTTGATACACAGCCAAGAATTTTACTTTCCTCCATTCTGACTTTATTTGGGAAATAATAAATTAACCACAACCATTTCTATTATTTTAAAATGCTTGGTTTGTGTTGTGTACTCTCCTGTAGGAAATGAATCCAGCATCCTTTGGACTTGGGCCTTTCTGGAATATCTGATTCTACGGGGTTTTAACCTTTCATTATCATTTATAGCAAATGTTTCCTGTTTATACACGTGGAAATACATTTTTCATTAAAGATGCGATTTATTTTATCCAGTGAAAGTGCACACCTATTAGTAAATTCATATGCTTTTTCTTTGGAGTCACCCTGGAAACAGCTTTTGTATCTTACTGGTTCTCTTAGGAATTAATGAGTTAAATAAAATCTTTAATATATGTTCATTGTATTAGTATGAGTCATTATTTTACTTTTCTGAAAAAAATTATCCATAGGGACAGACTGTGAAGGAACATCATTTTGAAACATCCACTCCATATTTCTTGTTTTTCCCCGGTGTCAGGGCTAAGTCTACACTCACTGGCTTAGGAGAGCATGAAGACACCCACCGGAAGCAGAGAAAAGTGACTTCTGGACCTTGAAGTCCCAAAGCCTTACCCTCAGGGAAAGCAGAAAGCACAGAGGCCTCACCAGTGAACTGGGAAGAACATGTGTCTGGAGCACACTCATGATCAGGAAAGATGGAGGTTTCCAGGAAAGATGGAGGTTTCCAGGCATGGGCAGAGAGCAGGGCGGGATGAAAAGGGTACATACCACTTTTCTGGATACCAGAGGGAGCCCAGTGCCTCTCCCTGCCCCAGCCCAGTTGAGGCAGGTATGACCATAGACTGTCCAAATAAATGTAGGCAGGCTGAAGCAAGGGTGTTTGAGGCCACATTATGCATGGAGATCCAACCCACACGAGGACCACAGCTCCCAGAAGTCAGTTAGCCACAACTACCCCCACTCCAGCTCAACCAGCTTGGAATAAAAGTCGAGCTCCATTAGAAAAACTCAGTTTGTAGATTTAGGTTCCTCAGCTCTTTACAGAAATATCTCACTCATATCCAAGTCTCATAGTTTATTTTACCCATTTCCCCAACTAGTACACACTTGTCTATCTCAGCTTTCTGTGTGTGTGGCAGTGGGCAGGCTAGCCTCTGTATATAGGAGGGGCAATGGGTGGGGCAGCCTCCCTCTATAGGAGGGCCTTGCACATATTATGCAAGGGCTCTACCACTGAGCTACACTCCCAGCCCCAAAGGTTTTGATAGAGAAAATATCAGATAACATTCCCATCTGCAGCCTATAGATATGTGTGTTTCCCAAGCCAGTTCCCAGGCACCCTCCATACTGGCATGCAGTCACGGGACTATCCACCATATGTGCCCACCTGGCTTAGAACCAGGAGCTGGTGGCATAGTGACAACTAGGATTTGGCACAGGTAGGGTGATGGAGCACACTGCCCTTTGTCTCAGGTGCCTGCCATTCCTCGATGCCCAACCTAAAGCTTCATACTGTCCTTTACTCAGTCTGTCTCCTGTCTACACCAGTCAGCAATGATTTCTGTTGCTTTGCAGGTAAGAACTCTGATAGACTGTTTCTGGATTTTGCTAAAAAAGTCCAGAACATACATTTTTGGAATAGCCATTTTGATATCTTTATTTAATTATTTTGTAAAGTGAAATCCAATGACAGAATTGTTGAATACTCATATTTTCAAGGTTTATTTTTTTTATTGTACTGGGGATTGAACCCAGGGCCTTGCACATACTATGCAAGTACGCTCCCTCTGAGCTACACCCCTGGTCCCAAGGGTTTTTTTTTTTTTTT